CGGCCTAGCCACATAGGATCAAGTAATCTAATTCGTTTGTAATAATTATCTATTAAATAAATAAATAATATAAATCATTAAAAAAATAATATGGGATACGGTCTATGATTGGTGTTAGATCTGTTTTTAAAAGAGCAATTATAGCTTTTGATATTGCCATGTGTGGAATCTTTAAAGTTGGTCTCTTAGATACAGAGAATACTTTCTAGTCTGGAGTAAAAGCCACTTACTGAAGAATTTTCATTAACTGGTGTTGATTTCTACACTGGAATCTATTTCAGTACTTGATTCATCTGCAGTATTAATTACTGAGTTGATTTTCTTGATAATTCTGGTGATTCTGCCTTTTATGGTTTTGATGGTGAGATGAGGATATAAATTATGCATCATTTTGGTGATGTATGATATGTCCTGTAAGTAATCTGTAGGTATAGGATCATTAGCACTGAAAGAGTTCTCTAAAAAGGATTTGAATTGTATGTAAGTAAGGGGGTAGTTATTTTGAGTGTCTTCAATGATATGTTTGATAGGGGTAATCAACAGTTTCATATTCTTCTCTTTTTTCTTTTTTTTTTGGTTATTTTGAGACTTTCCATATTCTTTGTTTCAGTTGTTTTACTTACAGTGAGGGGTGAGAAGGAGTCAGCCTGGAGGCATCTTTTATTGTTATTAAGGGAAGCTATGATGTCGTAAGTTGGGATTTCTTCATTGTTTTTTGCTTCAGTAGCAAAAAATAGAGATTTAGATGGTGGTGAGGGATCAGTTGTATTTCTTTTGTAAGATCATTGTGACTTTGAATATCTGCACCTTCAGTGTTTTTTCTATTGATTGCAGGGTCTGGTATGTCACAGGATTTTCCCCTGATGTTTTCAGATTCCATGAGAGCACTGCCGAAATTGGTTGTCTTGTGTTGATTAAAAGTGTTATGTGAAGGGGATTGTCCAGAAATGTTATGTGAAGTGCCTTTTCTGATGACAGTTAAAGCAAGACATTTCATCTGTTGTAAAAAATATCCAATGTTGGATTCTAATGGCAGACTCGCATCTTCAGGGGAAATATACACTTGTCTACGGAAACTGTTGTGAGAGAAACCGTGTCCAGGAATACCAGCTTTTACAAGTGAAATTTTAGATGCCAATTTGATATTGTTTGTAGTCAGTACATTCTCTATTACTGAATTTGGGATGATGGGACAAAGGTTAGATATATTTATTCTTTTGCTCTTTGTTACAAGTGGTCTCGACTTCAGTTGATAGTTTTTTATTTTAATACCTTTATGGCTGTTTGTAAGTCTGTCAGCTATAGATTGAGAGCTTAGAAAGATACACACTCTTATTTGCAATTCTTGATATGAACCTTATTTCACTGGCGTCAATAATGTCGGATAGACTGTTTACGTAATCTTTAATAGTGAGACCTTCTTGCGAGTCTATAATTATGGCCTCGTCCTTGGTGGAAAATACTTCTGTGGACATGACATTTGCGTAAGTTTTCATATTTAAGTGAGAAGATACCTGAGGTGACGGTGTTGAGGTTATAGGGGCCCCGATGTCCGGAGGCTCCATCCTTGCAGGTTAGCCGCTGCACCGGCTGAGCATACAGTTGATTTCAGACACTCACAACTCGTGGGACAAGAGTATTACCAGTAAGTCAATGTCACTAAGTTCACAGTCTGAATGGCAATGTGATAACAACAACTGTTTCACTGGACGCAATCGGAGCACGAGGTGTCACGGTTGGCTGCCGCAATGGAACTGAGTCGATGTTATTAGAGAAGCAAAAAGTTTTTGTAATGAATCTGTACAGAGAAGGGGGAAGAATACCTGGAACGGGGAGGGGGCGCTAGCGGACTGAAAGGCCCTTCTCAATACAAAGTATTTTGTACACCGCACCGGGCCGTGAGGCGCCGGGGGGGAGAGGGAGGCGGATGATGAGAAAATTACAAGAATTTCATTGCACATACGATTTATTGATATTAGGTTTCTAGTCTACGTGAATGGGATGATATGGCAAATGAAATGTTACTTTACAGAAATGAAATTGAATAAATGGTATAAAATGGAGGTTTGTTGTTACGTCTGTTAATTATCACCGGGAAGGTGACGTCGTGAACTTTGTCGCACTACACGACCATGGGCACACGGCGTTGCCGAATACCTGCTGCTGGGTCTCTGCGGCATGCGTGGACCTCAGAGCTGCTCTTCTCCCGGGCGAAGAGGGAATGCATGTGTCCCACACAGTACGCTGGTCGGTGAGTCTGTCCAGCAGCTTGGCCACGAACCTGGCCCTAGGTGGGGAGTATGAGTAGTCCTGCTGAGGAGTATGTGTTTGCGGCACACACAGTCTCTCGCCAGCAGGTGACTGACGGTGTGAGTCGGGTCTGTCCGTACCGATGTAGTCCCCGCCGATGGCAGGTTCACAAGTACTTTCCACGCGTGCCGAAGGCAGCGGTTTCACGTGCGCGAAGCGCATTGAGTTGTAATGTGAACGAAAAGGCCCTAGGCCGGTGGTGTGGCCTGTGTCTCTCGCAGTGGTAGTCGCCCGGTTTCAGGGAGGCTGCAGCCCTTCGGGAAAGCGGGGGGAGACGCCGTTCGGGGGAGGAGCGACCGCCGCCTTCGCGCGGGGCTTTGTGCAGTGGACGGAACAGAACCTGCAAAACGTATTACGTTTGTCGATGTATTAAGAATTTTTATACGATGCACGCTTACGTCATACTGTAGAAGAAGTGCAACAGTAATTTTCACATGATAGTAGGAAAAATTAATTATTAAATTAATTCAAATCATCTAGAGCAACTAACTCATTGTATTTCATGAAAATCATAACGATATGTATAGGATTTCAAGATAAACCGACAGTAATTTATAATATATAATTAATATAAATTCAACTTCCAATAATATTTAAACACAATGAATAATATTAATTTTCGAGTTCATGTAAAAATAATATGCGTGACTTATTCGGCCAAAGCTAACAGGGTGCCGTGAGAGTGGAGAATAAAATATGTTGGCATAAAATTAAATGGAAATAATGTATTGTGCAGAATTAAGGTTTTCTTATTCTAACTGCGAAGGCCGAAGACCGAAGCATCCTTGCCTATTTGTACAGGCTTAGCGAAGAATGTATTGTGCTCAAATAGTTTTAACTTAGAGTCGCCATGTAATGTTCTCGGTGTAGTGAGATTATTTCTGCGCACTCTGTACGATAAGGGAGAAAATACGCAACTATTTTGGGATATATATGCTCTTCTGTATACTCTATTGCATGTGTGTACTCGCATCACTGTGTTGCTCTTTGAGCAATGCCATTGTCGCGGCGCCGAGACACGACGCAGACGTTTTACATCGCTAAATTGAATTGAATGACCCATGATAAATTAATTTTACGATGATTTTTAAACCATATTTTTAAAAGACACTTTAAATACTATACTGCAAAATGTATTTCTGCCTTTCTCTATTATATATCGATTGAGTTTACCACCAGCATTTTTCATGTGTCTGCAGCGACTCTGCCCGAGAGGTCCAACGTCTCGAGTCTCGACAGTAGCCGAGTTTCTACACCAGAGAGGTCGAACTCAGCCACTATCTGGAGAAGACGTCTAGCGCCCGGGACCTCTGATCAGTATTTTTCCATAGGTTCTCCGTTCAGTAACAAGCAAATGCTGGAGCAGTGCCCCTACAGGCGAGCTACGGTCTGCCCGCGATGTTTCATTCCCTTTTCTTGTGTTATCCACTCCCCTGACACACATTAACCTTACATGCACTACACTCACACACATATCCGAAGCTTGGACCTTGTTCCGGCTGGGCGGTGGCTCACGGAGGGAGAAGCCAGAAGACAAAAAATCCTTCAAGCGATTCATAAGTCGGCTCCAGAATCTATCATTCAGATGGTGAGGACCACCACCGCTTCCAGGCATGAATGGTAGTACATGGCGTGCTCCCAAACATCAATCAATCCTCTATCAAACATCAATCACACACCACAAAAATTCGAAAATCATATAAGAAACATGTACAATTTGGCGCTAATAGCTATTTCTTTCTTGCACAGGGTGTGTTCATCTTCAACCTGGTACAATGGACGCCCATCAAGTACCTGGACTACGAGTATCCCTGGTGGAGCCATTGCATCGGCTGGATTACTGCGTTGTCATCTATGCTTTGCATCCCAGGATACATGGTGTGGCTTTGGACGCACACGCCTGGCGACTTGGCAACGGTACGTCTGCCTTTCCTCCTCCTCCTTATACAATCTCTCATTCCTCTTATTGTTTTATTTCCTTTCCTTTTTGTTGGCGTCTTCCTCGCCTACCTCCTCGCGTTTTTATCTTGCTCCCTTTTCCTTTCTACGTGTCTCCCCTATCCATATCACGTGCATGTGTGTACTTACTGTTCTCAAGAAAGCTGTGTTGTGGACCATGGTATTGTCTATTGGAGACAGATACTATGCCGAACTATATATAAGCAATGCTGCACGTTTTATGGGAAGAAAAGGGAAAAACTAGGTTGAGAAATTGCAGCGAGATATGGTTTGTCTGTTCATTATGTATTTGGAGCGCTCGTGGTAAACTGTAGATAAACGCATATCAATGTATGATTTTCTTCGTGGCTGTGCTTTCATTCCGATGTAATAAACACTGTTTTTCCTGTTGTTTATATCGATCATATTCTTACCTTATATTATTCATATATCTTTCTCGTTTTTTTCTTTGCATATTTTGCAGTTTGAAAACATATTTTAGTGTAAATGTTGGGTTTGTGACACAAATCGCCTTTAAGAAAAATATTGGAATAGTTACAAAGACCGCGTAGTGCACAATTATTGAATTAACATGCAATAATTTCAAAAATCGATATTAAATAACTCACTTCAACCTTTAAGATGCCTTCTTGCGCTTACCATCCTGTCCATTCGCTCATTAATCGCTCTGAATTTTATTCTAATGTATTTACTCGCTGGGGGGTCTTATTTGCACTTACGTGTACGTAAGTTGACTTTGCCTAAAATAACAGAACGTCAAAGCGAAGTAGTAATATTCTATATCTCACATCTTCTTGTAATTTCTACAGGGAAGCGTGTGTTTACGAGAGATGCAAACTCACGGGAACTTGAAGGTTATTGCGTCTGTAGTTGTCGAAGAAGTGTTTGCTTCGCGAGGACGCAATGGCACCAGAAATGCTATTGATCACATGAGTGGCCTTGAACGCTTTCTCACAAAGCTGAGTGCAACTACGTCATTGCAAAAGAAGTGGTACATGAGCAGGACGATTCCCCTTGGCTCGTCAATCATTGAAGTACGATAAGGAAAAATAACATTTTCAACTTAACAAATTCAGTTATTTTACGAGCAGATTACTTTAATATTCATCCAATGCATCCCAACTAGACAGTGGTCACAATTCCAAATCCAGAAATCTCGACATAGGCGTTGTCTGGTCTTACCGGTATGTGTGGAGATATAAATTTACAATGACTATTTCACTCGAGGAATTAAAACCAATAGTTTTTAACTGTGCATACAAAATGCTCCAGTCAGGGCGGTGTATCTAAAAACGTTTATCGCCTTTTCTCTCCGATTTTTCTTACCGCCCCGCCCTGCTGACCAGTGATAAACTAACTCATCTATCTTAGTAGGTGGCATACATCGACCGCCACGTCCAATAAAGCGGTTGTGTACTATAGCGTAAACTCTTTGATTCTTACATACCTCTCAGATATTTTCAATATTTGGCCCATTTTGGAACTCTGTGGGATGTAATTCCATTCGTGGAATATTTCTACTTAAGTGCGAGTGCTTTGGAAATTCTCGGATTCGCGTCGCTCCTCGCTTCGAGAGTCGGAGATTTATCAACACTTTGCAAAGGACTCGTGGCATTTCCTATGATACTGAAATGATGTTTGAAATGAGCGAGGAAGATGTAGAAGATGGAATCTAAGGCAGGAAATGGGATGACCACGAGGACGTCCATCATGTCTGCGCTTTATCCACCACACATTTCACTTACACCGGAAGGGGATCGAACCTTGATCCCAGGAAAAGGGTGCTGGTGGGATCTGAACAGAACGAAAACTTGTTGAAACAGCAGCATTCAACCCGCTATTAACAACGTTAGTACGATTGTATAAGAGCGAAGGAGTCAATGTTAAAAGTGTCAACGGAAGGAGCATGTGATGAATATCCAATCAGAGAAAACTATCGACTTCAATGTATTTTTGAGTAAATTAATAACTAATGATATTTTACCTTGTGTTACCGCAATCGGATGGCAGTATTGCACGTTTTCGAGGGAAATTATTTTTAATTTTATTCGTCTACGTATTACATTGAAGAAAACGTTGGTTTAAACATAAGTCGATCTTATGCGTACGAAATAAAAAAATATATCAGTCTTCTGGAACATATTTACTTCCAGTAGTGAAATCATATGTGCTAACAAGAAACCGTTACTGATTCAACGCAAAAACCGTAACAGAATGTTGCTTAATAAATAGAAAATTTAATTGTATTTCATGAATTGTCATGTATAGATAGCTGAAATCATAGGTTACATTAGATCAAATGATCACTGATGAAACGTGATACACACCAATAATTGAACACAAGTATCCTATTTTCTTTTCGGGCAATCAATAAACACAATTTTGTTTACTGATTGCTAAAAAAGGAAAAAAATACCTGACTGTTAATTTATTAATATAATTAGTGAAAATAATACCCTTTTTATATATTTGACTGTTTAGATAATCACACTCTTCAATTGCACCTGAAAAGCGGTATCTGGAGTGCTGCTGACCGCCAAAACTGTATTTAAAACCACGACAACTCTTATAGTGTTTCAAAATCCTTGTGATTGCGCGATTGAATCTACAACAATATTTCATTTCCGCATTTATCCCATTATTCAGATGGGTAACAACCGTGCGCTGAATTATGTAATCACTCAGTTGCAATAAGAACGAGGGAAATCTTTCTCATGAAATATTGGGAAAGTGCTGATGTAATTTATGGAAAACAAAGTGATTTGTCAACTGCGAGCACGAACGAAAGCGAACATATCGTGGGCGCTATATGGAAAATCCAGATTTGTGGAGCCTATCGACGTTGCACAATTCTTCAGCCCCGCCATTTCTCCAGATCTCTGGAAATACCAAGTAGATATGAATCAGTGTGCTATGGGCTAAGGTTCATTGGACTTGCATTAGTATTTACCTCTAACATTAAAACGAGGTCACAAAACAATTAGTGGCGTTGCAACACAACGTACTTTCACGCTTCATTTGCAACATTTAGTTTTCGACATTTCAGATAATTCTATGATAATGGAACCGGCGCCTTTTTATGAGAATATTTTTTGCCCGGTATTCGTTAAAATGGACCATTTTTGATAAACTATTTTTCATTGATATTTCATGCACTATTACGCTAATACGAATTATATTTTCGAAATATAATGTAATGCCATAATTTTGAATATTGGCAATTTTCAAAAATTCATAGAGTTCGATGAAATGCGATCTGCGCCATTGTTTTAAGCGTTCTATACGATATTCGATGACAATGTTGAGTAAAAAATTTGGAGTTATCTTTGATAACATGTTTAAAATGTTGAAGCTTCGTGTAAAAGACCTCTAAAAATCAAAATATCCATTTTAAACTTGCAGAATATTGAGTTTGACCAGGTTGCAGGGAAATATCACTTATGGGGAAAATCGTCTGAACTGTTTAGACGTTAGTGCTGACGGACAGAGAGACACAGAGACAGACAGACAGAGAGACAGAGACAGAGAGACAGAGACAGAGAGACAGAGAGACAGATACAGAGAGACAGAGACAGAGAGACAGAGAGACAGAGACAGAGAGACAGAGGCAGAGAGACAGAGACAGAGAGACAGAGACAGAGACAGAGAGACAGAGACAGAGAGACAGAGACAGAGAGACAGAGACAGAGACAGAGAGACAGAGAGACAGAGAGACAGAGAGACAGAGAGACAGAGAGACAGAGAGAGAGACAGAGAGACAGAGAGACAGACAGACAGACAGAGAGACAGACAGACAGACAGAGAGACAGACCAATTTTTCCTACCTAACATGTTAGAGGAAGTAATTTACTCCTTACAAGAACAACATTTATCCATTTTGTCGATATCTGATTAAAAATCACCACTCTGTGATGGAGTATTGCAATTAAGTATTACAAAAAAGAGTTAAAGTCAAATACAATAAATAAAAAACTATGGGTCCCGGCAAGGGATTACAAAAAAACGCTCATTTATAATTATCGGATAACATGGATTTTTACAACACGAACTCCGATTATTTAGATCTCATTGAATTCGGGTTAATGAGGGTTTACTGTAAACAGTCAATGCAATCATTTAACTTCCTTTTGTATTGTATAAACAAAATGTATAAAAGTTAATGAATTCTTACTTTTCATGAACAGATACAAATAACATTGTTCAATGAATGACCTATATCAATCATAGATTTCAGTCAGTTAATCGTCTTTCAATAAATCATTTTGTGAATGAACGTAGGTAATATTTTCAGTCTCATTTACGACTACAAATATTTATATACTTACCCAGTTAAATCACTGTTTTCTTAATCACTCTCATAGTTATTGATAGACCACTGCATTTCTTATGATGATTGGATCATCCTTTTTACTTTTGCTGTTTCTTATCCCTCGTGAAAAGTGCAAAGAAACAAAAAATTTCGGCAAGGGCGGATTTTTAGCTCTCCTTCTGGATTGAGTATCCTTGCAAAGATGGGTAGAGATTAATACAACAAAATGCTGAAAATAAACAATTTAAATAATATGTTTGTAGATACATCACGATCTTTATTATTCACCTATCCCCAAGAGAAGATTGGTTCCTAATATATTCCGCCAGAGGTCAGTAGCGGTTCAGGACAACTGGAACCTAATAGATTCGTTGGAGCCAAGTGGCAATGCAAGATAACAATTTTTAATCGAATAGCAATGCACTGTAAAATAAAATGAGAGCAAATGATGTATTTTATTAACCTTTGGACCAAATACATTAAAAATAATTATTATAAACACCGTGGTTTGTATAAAATTTTATCTATTTCCTCTTCCACTACATTGTATGCGATGAAAGCCCGGGGAACGGACGGGTATTTTGCTGATATTAAATAAATAGGGACATAATTTGGGACATTCCCGCCACTATGTAGTTAAGTGTGTGAGGGTATGTGTGAGAGACATACCATTAAAGACATAGTCTCTTACGTTCACGCTAAGAAAACGCTGGGTCAACGGTCTCGCAGAGGTCGGGGCCGATTGCAGGAAACCGCAAGACTGTAATGAGGTAAATCTCTGGAATCCTCTTCCAAGCAACGGTGCCATTCGAGAAGGCCGGCGTCGCAGACCTGTCCTCTGGGGCATCGGTGCATCGATCTCGCTATTGCGAACTACAACGGCACCGATCGCAAACCAGTCTCGTATATCGTGAAGCTCCATCGATATAGAGGCTTGCAAAATGGTACACAATGAGGACACGCTACTGAGATTCTGACGGGATGACGGCTCAACTCATTGCTGAGCACAGTTGAGGGATGATGCGCGCAACTTATGTCGTATCCTTTTGTGAGCCGGTGATCACAGTACTGTTTTCCTTTTGCCTTACCCTGAATAAGGATGGTTATGATCAATAATGGTAAACACAGGTGTGCGCAGAGGGGTTCGAGGCCGCTGCTGAACATTTTGCAACTGACTGCGTAGTCGTACGTAATAGACATTTAAATTCGATGAATTTCTGGTTTTCCCCTTTTTTACCCTGACAATTGGGGTAATTGATACACATTTCGGGAAAATCCGCCAACCTGTAAATGATTTAACATAAAATCAATTATTTTATTAATTGTATCATTAAAGTTATGATTCATTCTCCATATTGCAAGTTCTCATTACTTACTGCAAATGGGCCCAACAGAGCCTAGGCCTGCAAAAGTAGTTTTGGTTTACGCTGCCAACGCCTATGAGGTTGGACGATTATAATAATGATGATGAATGATGTTCAGGATGGTGTTCACATGAGACAACGATTGTTGCTTCTGTAAGCCAGCAACGCTACATTCACTAGCATATGGTGAAACCACTCACGACGTACACGGGATTGGGACTTGCAGCTTTCGACTCCACGTACTTTGGCGCCTTTCTAAGCTGCTACGCCAAACAAAGGCGATCTATGAAAGAAATAAATTATTTAAGAGCTAACTCAAAAGGAAACATTTTTAACTTTCCAATTTCATAAATATGGTCTAGTGAAGACATGATTTCCGTTGACAACAAAGTTTGCTTGGTTGAAATGTAATCTTATTGCAGTAATAAATGTCAAAATTATGATGTTGAAAGAAGTGTAGTTGATACTTCACTTCATTTCTACGACAGTTGTCAATTATCTTATGTGTTATTATTTTAAACACGAAAATAATTTTTTTTGGGCACTACTACCAAATAAGGAGATTCTAATGTATCGAGGGACCCCTGGTTTTCTTATCTAGCTGTGGAGTCACGAAGAAGATATCTGCTCTTGTCACTATAGTTTCCGCAAGAACACTAATCGATAAAATTACGCCAATGACTACTTTCATAACGAAGCAGTGTCGATTGCAAATTATATTTTCCCCATTCCGGTGCTCAGTTAACCTAAATTTTGTTTACTTTGTTTAAAACCCTAATCTAAGAGATCTGAGTTTCATCAATAATTTTGTATGCCAACATTAGGGAACCGAAACCAAGGGGAATAGTCTGTAGCATTTGTTCGCTACGAACGTATTTGATCCTCTAGCTAGGCGAATACGGATTTTTATTTCGACAAAAATGTAGAAGAATTAAAATACGCAGAGAATTTATTCCCATTTCATCATGATGTCAGAGAAGACGTTATGATACACAAAGTTCAGCCAATTTCGATCCTTGGAAAATCGCCCCCCCCCCCAATCCAGAGAATGAACTCTCACTGGTTGCTCACACTTCAATAGTAATATCTCGCCGTTCGTCATCTTAGAGGAACAAAAGATTCACTGTGGCATAGGGATGAAAGGTATTACTTCGTAGTGTACATTTAAGAGTTACGTGTTTGGTGTGGCGCTCTGCTCAAGTGCTACGTCCGGTAACGAAGGCTGTTATTTTCGGCCCACTCACACGCCTTGCTCTCTGTTCCAGAAAATCAAGTTGCTGATCCGGATAGACGACGACGTGGCGTCTCTCCGCGCGAAGATGACCGGCGGAGTGTCGGAGATCACGTCGCTGTGAGCCTCCGCCCCCCCAGCCCTCACCCGCTACACCCCCGCCCCGCGCCCACTCCCCCGCACGTGTACATAACAAGTACGAACCTCATAGCGATCCGTTCGCCCGCCTGCCCGCGGCGCGCCGCCGCCCCGCGCCTCGGGGCTCGTCCGCTTCCACCCAATCCAGAAGAAGTAGTGGTGGACGACGAAGGTGGTGAAGATGTTGGAAACGAAGTTTGGCTCTGTGTGTATAAGTGTCGAACTGTGAACCTGCGCAGCTCGGACACGCCGACGACCGAACCTTGACAGCCCCGCTGGCCCTCACACGAACGGCACGCCGCACGCACGTCCGCGCGCAAACAGTTGAAGGCCTCGCCGCCCCGCAGCGCCGCTCTCTGGAGGGGGCGGACCCTGCGCGCGCACAGCGCACAGGGCTTGAGACAAAACGCTATGTAATATACTTCATTAGGAATAATTATTAATTATTTAGAAATGTGTACATAAATAGAATAAATGTACTGCTTAAAATAGTTCGCTTCAACTTAGTTGTCCTCATTTTCCTGGCCGTTTCCCAATTATTTCACGAGCTTCAGAATGTCAGTGCAATCATTTTCTACTACATTTGAAGTGGGAAACATGAAATATTCCTATCACTACTCACTTTCTATCAGATTCCACTCACGTAATCGCCATACACACAAGATACGTATCATACAAGGCTCCCGCAACTCATATTGATACTCAAGCAGCCGACAATCGGCGCTCATATCTATTCTTTGAAGAAATTTATTGTATTGTGTAAAAGATATATATCTTTATTCCTAAGGTACAGATCACTATGTTTTGGCAAACGAGTCGATATAATGCCTTGAATTGTACATTATCGATTGATTTCCTTCAAGGTCATTAACACCTTTTCGCCACTAAGCATCCTCCCATCCCGATCCCCTTTCAACCGTTCCAAGTGCCTGAAGAATGTCTAAGTGTTCGTCTATAACGAGCTACTCTGAGGTACCGAGGTATTTTGTAAGGCGATGCACTGAGTACACTTGGGCACTGCATGGCACTAAATCCTCTAAGTAAAACACTCCAGAATACTCAAAGTGTACACATGATAACCATAACCACCAAAGAGAGCTACACAAGTATCCATCTGCTAAATGTGGATGATTTGAAGTTAAATGCTGAATCAATCGAAATCAGCTTTATAGACTTGTCACTAAATGTAGCAATGAAATCTGCATGGAACTTGGTCTGGAGAATTGTACATCGGTACATACGAAACAAGGCAAAGTTGTTGCATATGAAGGATATTATGTCACGCCTGATGGAGGGATTGAAGATCTGGAAGAATCATGTCACACTGGTATCAAACGAAACCTAAAAGAAAATTTTCTTCAAAAAATCAAAAGCATCCTCAACACACAGCTCTACAGCAGAAACAAAGTAAATGGCTATTAATGCATGTGAAATAACACTACTTACTCATTTAGATTAGTCAAATGGCCAGCGACAGACATGCAAGATCTATCGACGCTAGTCAAAACACAACCGACAAAACGCCGAATTAAACATCCAAAATCAGCAATAGAACGGGTGATCCTTCCATTACTGATAGGTGGCATGGGAATCACCGACATACCGCGACTCCATAGCAAACCAATAAACAACCTCAGATCCTATTTTCACAAGAAGGAAACCGACGATAGACTGTTTAATGTCATTTATAAAGCCACTGCGTCTATCAGATGCCACTTTTACTTCAAAAGAAGATCATTACATCAAAGGAAGATCAGAAAAATAACTGGAAGCAAAGAGAATTGCATGATACATTTCCGAATCAATGAGAGAAAGATAATATAAATAAAGAAGCAACAAGCATCTAGCTTAAAAACGGAATCCTCTTTGGCGAAACAACTGGATTTATGATTGCGTTTCAAGATAGAGTAATAGCGTCTAGAAATGATCCGAAATACAAAATCATGGATGCAATTTCAGACAAAGAAGAGAACACAGAAGAGGATCCTGCCGGGCACTGGCCAACACAGAATAACCATATCACACAATAAGGTAGCAAAAAATATTCATCAAAATTTATCAGGAGGCACAACTTCAGCATCACCTTATTATAAGTACGAACCGTCACCAGTAGTTGATAACAGCGATTTCAAACTCTATTGGGATAGAGAAATAAGGACTGACGTCACCATACCAATTAATCGGACTAACATCACCTTGCTCGACAAGTAGAAAGAAGTTAATATTATAGATATAGCCATTACACTCTCCCACAATAGTATAGTAAGAACATCAACAAATACAAGGACCTGGCAGGTGACGTTAGGAAAATGTGGAAAGTCAAGGAAGTTTATATTAGACTCAACATTTCGGCCACAGGACTAATTTCTAAAATCGCGAAGAAACACTTAAAAATCCTCCAATTAGAAAGGCACTTATCACATATTCATAAGTCTGTGACACTAGACACTTGCTATATTGTGAGCAAGTTCTAGAGAGACAGGCTTGGCTGAATTCAACTCAATTACCGTTTAACCAATCACGCAGGGTCAACGAGTGCCGTGTGTACGTGTATAAGAATTGTGAAAGTGACCCAATAGTGGATGGTTTATATGAAAGTGTTATCTCTGTTATTTATTTCAATTCAATTTGACTTGTATTCTGATATGTTAATTTGATTTCATTTGAGTTCTGATGAAGCTGAACAATGTGTCAACTGTAATACGTTTTGAATTTGAATTCCTGTCTGTTATGTAATGTCCAGTCGTGTTGAGAAAGTTAACAAATAATAATAATAATAATAATAATAATAATAATAATAATAATAATAATAATAGTATTAATAAATTGTAAAAATCCTTAAACAATATGGTAACACTGTTTACTTTTCGAACTGTCCTCTACATCCCATCTTCAATATGCTCAATATGTCATCATTTGCCAAGATAATTCGTAGGTCACTTAGTGTTATCATATTGTGATATGTTATCAGGGAATTCCAAATCGTATACACATAATTTCACAAAAAAGAGAAAACAATGGCAGGAAGCTGTTACCTTGGCAGCTGAGTGTTCTTTCAGGAAATTTATCCGTAAAAAATAGTTTTTCATATTATAATGATTGCTTAAGAGCACCATTGTAAACTTATCTGTAAATATCTGGGTCCTCCTTTTCAGTTGACATTTCTTTACATACACCACACATTATTCTAGTAATTAATGAAAATACATCATCTGGAATGAAATTATACGTTAAATGAATACCTTATTAATCACACAATTAAAAATATCTTTATTAAAAGTTATTCATTTATTTGTACCTCAGTTAATAAATAGGGTTTATTTCATGTTAACCCATTTAAATGGTTTTCACATTGATTGTAAAGCCACTTCTCCAAATATACATCAATTTCTCAGATTGTCAAGTTTAAAAAGGCAACATTTAGGGGTTGAATAGTACATTTAATGATAATTTTTTTAATGCAAAGCTAATCGCATCCTTTCAAAATGTTTAGGGAAGCCATGCTCCCTTGCCCCTCTTTGTGCTCACGCATATAAGAATATTGCAACATCCATCCTATTCCAAATATCTATCTATCTCTATTACACTTCTGCCACCAGTTTAAAAATTTCTAACTGAACAAAACCCAAGAAGTTCGAAAAATGTTGCATCTTTAAATTTTGCAAATTCTATTAAATGAAAATTGCCATTGAATTGAGAGCATTGTGCTCTATTCTCACAAAAAAGTCTAAGGAAGAAAATATTTACCCCGGCTGACGTTCGACTTCGAGCTATGGAGCGAAAGAGAAGCGCTGTGGAAGATTATCTATCTCTTGCCTTCATATCTCTGGCCATCTATCTCATGTCACAAAACAATTTCATTCAGTATGCTGTAATGAATTAATTTCGAGTTAATCAATACATATTTTAAATAAAATTCATGGAAAAAGCACAACTAATTAAAAAATATTGTACATGAGAATATAGAATGAGGATCTAATTGGTTGATTGATTAATTTGTGATTCCGGGAGCGTCAACGGCTAAGATAGTGCCGTGCGTATAGTGCACGTTTTCATCGCGGAAGTGGTTCTCATTTTCCCTTGCTGGTTGAGAGATCCGGCGCCGACCTACGTCGACGTTCGGGGATTTCCCCAACCAGGTATCACTCACTAGCGGGGCACCGATTCAGCCAAAACCAGCTCTAAGCTCCCGGCCGGTCTACCGGCAAGTGTGATAGTGAGTGCATGAAAGTGTGTGTATGGGGTGAGGATAGGCAATGATGAGGAAGGAAAGATCAGGCGCGGCCCGAGGCCTGTTGTTTAGGGTACTGCTCCGACATTCGCCTGGTGTTGATGGGAGAAAACACGGAAAACTACCGATCAGAGCAGCCGGTCGCTAGAATTTTTCTCCTGACATCGGCCGAATTCGACTAAGATGAGTATCTAGTGTGAATATCCTCCCCCCGTTGCCTTTGGAACCTCGTGTCCACCCAGTCAGAGATACTCGTAGTGCACCGATATCCGTTAAAGCCTTGGGCCACCTTTGTCGATAGGAGGACCTCGCTTCGAAGAGAAGATTTCATTGAGAAGAAGGTTAAAAAAAAGCAGAGGACTGAAACACAGTGTACGTCATTTTGCTAAACGTACTTCGCTCTATTTCAGGAAAAATGAAGTAAATACATGGAGCAAATTTTTCTGTTGAAAATGTCGAAAATTGCATAGAGACTTCAAATATCCACTTGAAATTTATGTGTTCGAAGCGGGTATAAGTTTACTTTCGTTTCCTCCATCATTACGTCGCATCTTGCTTCATCCTTATATAAATCATACTTGTATATCATTAACACCCCTCGGTCAAAACAATTCATCTTCTGGGTGTCCAAAGAGGATTAGAGATAGAATGCTGATAATGAATATCCACAAGGTATATTTGGCATCTCAGAGAGCTACATTTTGTTCATCTTATACAAATTTTGTTAATTAGAATTATAATGGACTAGCTCAACC